CCAGCTAGGGAGGAAATTGGACCTTTGGATGACAAGGAAGAAGAAGGTGTGTTAAAGGAGGAGAATGAGATTACAGATCTGATAAATTAATTATTTGCATCTGTCTTCACTGTGGAAGATGTAGGGCAGATCTCTGTGCTTGAACTTTCTCAGTAAGGGGATTTGAGGAACTGAGGCAAATAGTAGTGACGAGAGACCACGTTCTAGGCCTTATGGATAAATTAACAACAAACTAATCACCAGGTCCAGATGGCAGCCATTTAACGGTTCTTTAAAATTCTAATGTGAAATTGATGATCTTCTAGCAAAAATATATAACTTATCCCTAAAATCAGATTCCATTCCTGAGGATTGGACAGTACCAATGTAACACCAATCCAGGTGGATGCAAGAAATTACAGGTCAGTTTGGACAATTAATGATTGGGAGTTGCTGTGCCATTAAACTTTAGCTAACAGACTTGAACAACATCCCGGATTTGAATGGAGTCAGAGGAAGCTGCGTTGATAAAAAAGTCAGTTGGAAAAATATATACTAATAAAGCTGTATTTGACAGATGAAAGTATATGATGTTTGACATGACTGAGAATCGTGGACTCAGGGATGGAGAATGATAAAACATCAAAATCAAGATGTGGAAAATATGGAAACAAGGAGGAGAGGCAGGGCTAAGATGTGGAGATATGCTTCAGAGATCCAGACTGTGAGGAGCTCCGAAAAATTAATAATTATAATTTGGACTATAATTTGGTATTTTTTATTTTAGTTTTTTGTTTTAATTGGAGTATTATGATTGGATATATTAATTGGATGTTTTTTATTGGAAAATCAATAAAAACGATTAAAAGAAAGAAATTACAGGTCAGTTAGCTTGATAGTCTTCTTGGAAAACTTGTGGAAAACATCATTAAAAATAAATTCTCCAAGTATATAGAAGACTAAGTCTTGCTGAAGAAGCATCAGTAAGGCTTCGGCAACGGGTAGCTCCTGCCTGCCATAACTGGGTGGATGGGTATTTAAATGGCAGTGCTAGCAAGTGCAAAGTGATGCAGCCTGGGGCAAGACGCCTTACCTTCAAATGCCTGCAAACAGGCTCTGAACCATTGGTGACTGGTTATCAAAGAGATCTTGGAGTCATGCAGAATAGCTTGATGAAAATGTCAACCCCGTGTGTGGCAGTTATGAAAGGGTGAATTCTGCAAATATCATGATGCTCATATACAAATCTATGGTGTTGTTAAGTTGTGGGTGAACATATCAGACGACACAGTGATTCTTCAAACAGCTCTTGTTTATTCACAGGCCAGAACAGAACTGAACTGAAGGGTTCAGCCAGCCTGCTTATATAAAGCTCCAGTACAACGCAACTGTAACAACTTTCTGTAACTATCCAATCACTGAACGTCACTTTCAATCCCTTATTTGCATATGTGGACCTGAGTGAAAACTATCTACAGTGTCCCCCTGCTGGCCCAGGATGAGAGCTTCAGTACATAACAGGTGTAGCCAGAATACTGCGTACGGTTCTGACTGCCTTACCGCAGAAAGGATACAAGTTGCATCTGTAGTCTGCTACTCAAACCATTTGGTTTATGTTACAGCTTGAGATACTGGTGTAGGGAGGAGAAAATATTGCATGTGGCAGCCAGCTGCGTTTTGCTTCTCCAATGCTGGCAAACTGTGCAGGCAGCTTTATGCAACTCAGCCCACATGCCTGGCCAGCACTGCAAAGCACAGGCTCATGTTTTGCGTGAGTGTGAGGGAGTGCAAAGATAGTGGTTTGGCCAGAGGAGGTATGGTGACTGGTTGTGCCTGACTGGGATGTGGGGTGCAGGGGGAAGAGCTCAGAGACAGGGGTAGTAATGCATCACAACAGAAGGTCTGAGCAGAAAACTGAGACATGAAGAAGACAAGAGAGGAGCATTGCATTTTCTAATAAAAAATTAATACGGTAAATATACTGCATATAGGGCATCCATTTGTGCTAAACCAGCTTTTCAGTAACGTTCTGCTGCCCTTTACTCATCAGAGCAGAGCCTTATCTCTTGGCTCTAAGTGATGTCAGTAATTACTGTCCCCACATTTTCAAACTTTCTTCAAACTTTTTTCAATGAGGATGGGAAACTTGCTTTTATCTATCTATCTATCTATCTATCTATCTATCTCTATCTATTTTTTAAAAACGGAAGCTGGAATTCTTTACCACTACAAATGCATTCAGGGTGACGAAACATATCAAAAAGAATGGGAAAAAAATATGTTATATATAGAGAAGACGATGTGAAGTAGGGAACTCAGTAGAATTAAAATAAACCTCATAACAGGAAAACACAAGAAATGTTTTGGATAATAATATCAAAATGAATTGAAAATGTATTTTAGGACTATGTTTGAACAATATTTGTAAATGAATATAGACAGACAACAAGAGTTGCATATATAGAAAGATTTATTTGTTTACAGACATTTTATGGGGAAAAATTGAAGAAGAACAATTATATACAAAATGGACAGAGACAATGCGAAAAGTTAAAGACGACATAAAAAAGCCGGACGGAGGAAGGAGGGAAGTCAGCTCAGAAGAGCAAGAACAAATGTGAAACATAATGTACGTGTATGTATAGTGGCGCTGTGGGTTAAACCACAGAGCCTAGGGCTTGCTGATCAGAAGGTCGGCGGTTCAAATCCCCGTGACGGGGTGAGCTCCTGTTGCTCGGTCCCTGCTCCTGCCAACCTAGCAGTTCGAAAGCCCATCAAAGTGCAAGTAGATAAATAGGTACCGCTCCAGTGGGAAGGTAAACGGCGTTTCCGTGCGCTGCTCTGGTTTCACCAGAAGCGGCTTAGTCATGCTGGCCACATGACCCGGAAGCTGTACGCCAGCTCCCTCGGCCAGTAAAGCGAGATGAGCGCCGCAACCCCAGAGTCTCCCACGACTGGACATAATGGTCAGGGGTCCCTTTACCTTTATGTATAGCATGTAACTAAAAATTCAATAAAGATCTTGGGGGGGAGCAAATGCATTCTTGACTCTGTACTGTGTTGCAGTATGTACTTGATGTGAAACTCAAAAAACGTTGCCACCCTAATACAATCACCAGTTTTGTAACTATAGCGATTTTTAAGGTCCCTGCATGTGGGAGATATGCTGGCATTGGCTGGAGAAACAGGAACTAGAGCAAAATTGACCTCAGCTGGATGGAAAAGACAGCAGTGGATATTTCCACACTAGCCTGTGAATCATGTGAGCATGGCAAGATCCCTTCCCTGTCAAATACTGCATGGGAAGGAGTAAGCGGCAATGATTTAATCAGGAATCTGCTTAATAAATGGGATAAAAATGGTTCTTCTCCCATTATTTGCTAAGTTCCTATAGTAGCTAGGCACTGCACAAAGTTGTTTTTAAAATCCATGCCCCCACCTGAAAACTTACTGTCTAGCAGGGAAAGGAAAGGCAGAGGTAAATTAAAAGAGCAACTGTCCCGTTAGTTGGATCTTTTACAAGTATGGAAATTCCTTTTGCTGTTCTTTTAATCGGATTGCCTATCATATTGCAGAGTTCCATAAAAGCAACAGTGCCACCTCATGGACAGTTGAAGAACAAGTACATAATGTACTGCAGTGTAGTTAAATGATGCTCAGTTAATTTTCATAGTCTTTTACATTAGTGGTGAAGAAGCTGCTATCTGAAAGGAAGTAGTGCCTAATGGTTTCTTCAAGGGCACTGCAATGTGGAGTGGAAAAGCAGAGGTGCACAATAAGCCGCGTTTTCCTGACACATAAATTACTCTATATACTTGTTCCTCACTGGTATCACAAGTGTCTGGACACTTCCAAAAACGTTTAGCTATCCCTGTATAAATGCTGTTCAGATTATTGGCAGGATATTTTTATTTATTGAAAAACCTAGTGGGAAAAAAGAGCCCAACTGCAGAGGCTGGGAAGTGGGGACAGAGAGGCGAGGCTGCAGAAATATGCTTTGAAACTACAAATAATTCAGCATTACAAACAACTTCCGTTTGGAAAGTTCTGAACTAGGGAGGCAGTTACTCTTGAAGTAAGCAGCAGAGGAGCATCGTGTTATAAGAAGTTATATGCTGCCTGCATTTAACTTTATATTTAATTTGCAGCAGTGTTTTAATACCACCCACCTAAAAGTGAAGACTCCTAATCTCTAGGTAGATCTCCCCTGGGCAAGCATTCTGCTACTTCCATAAATTGACATTCTTACTCCTTTTTAGGGGGAGGGGTAGCCTGTATCTATTCTTGTTTATACAGTGGTACCTCTGGTTGAGAACTTAATTCGTTTTGGAGGTCCGTTCTTAACCTGAAACTGTTCTTAACCTGAGGTACCACTTTAGATAATGGGGGCTCCTGCTGCCGCCGCACGATTTCTGTTCTCATCCTGAAGCAAAGTTCTTAACCCGAGGTACTACTTCCGGGTTAGAGGAGTCCGTAACCTGAAGCATTTGTAACCTGAAGCGTTTGTAACCTGAGGTACCACTGTACATCAGGTTTTCCTCACATTTTCATTACTCTGTGAGTCAAGATCAAGTAATGGTTTGTATGTGTGAATGGGCCATCGCCAATATAATATACGTATACCACATACCGAACTTTCATATCAAAATGTAATGTTTTTAATGTGATTATATCTGCCCCCAATCGTTTTGTTCGCTGCTGTGTCGATGTTTTATCGTTTTGCTGTTTTTAATAAGTTGTAAACTGATTGTTTTATCGACTAATTGCAAACTGCCTGGGGGGCGGGGGCGGTAACTAATCCCAAAAGGCAGCTTAAAAATACATCAAACACATAGATGAGATTCACCCCAGAGAAGAGCTACAGCGCTGTAGTGGTTAGAATAGGGTGTGTGAGAGAGACTAACCTTTTGGGGGAATAAGCACATTTTCTAACTGCAGAAACTGCTAATCGTAGAATTGCAGAGTTGCAGGGGACCCTGCAGATCATCTAGTCAACCCCTTGAAAAGCAGGAATATGCAACTGTCCCATATGGGAATCGAACCTGATACCTTGGCGTTACCAGCCCCATGCTCTAACCAACTGAGCTATGTGAGCTGTTGTGGGCTGTGCACCACTGGCACCACTTTTTTCTCTCATTTCCTCCATTCCTTCCTGCTTTTTATTATTAGATCTACAAGTGTTGCAAACTACGTTTAGGAAGTGTGATAGAAACTCCCTAATGAAGCTATTTATAGTAATCACTTATGAGCCAGGCAGTTGTTAAAAACCGGGGGAGGAAGGGGCAGCCTTCCTATTGGAAACCCTTGCTGGAGTGAGTCCGCCAATATTTCTAGAGGTATAAGGTACTGTTTGATGTCAGTTCTGTTGTAAATGCAGTTCTGTAGGCCTGTCTCAGTAGAAAAATTCCCCAATACTTTCAACCATTGTTCCGCGTAGGAAGACTTCGAAATGCATGCGCCAGGAAAGTCGTCGTCGTCCCCCCATCGTTTCTGAACCGCTGCTTAAGTTTGTAGTTATCTATTTGTCAGTTAACTTGCTAATTTGACAGAAAAGCAGTGAAATGGAATTGTAGAAAATACAAACAACGTGGGCAGGTTGAAATATGCTTCTCCTTCCCACTGCAGTCTAAGATGTTGCAGTATAAATATGATTCTATAAAAGGTGTGAATGGAACATAAACATAAAAGTGATGGATTTGGTACAGTCAGTGAATGCAATTATAAGTAGGTATGGCAGAAGACTATTTCATCAAGGCTGGATCCACTGATTAATACAAATCTACTCCATTTCTGCCAGTCAGCCGCCGTACTTCACAGATGAGTTTTCTAAGGGCAGAGGTAAACAACCTTTGCCCCTAGTCCCAATAATTTGCTGTCATTTTTCTCCATTAAATTAGCATATAATTTGGAAGAAATTCACTCTGTTGTTTTCTCTCTCTTCATGATAAGAGCAAAATCTTACCATCCAATCTTTTATGAATGGCTTCTTTGAATTCGCGGTGCATTTTGCTTTAAAGAAATGAGTAAAATGCAATCTTTGGGTGATACGCAACTTAGTTTTCTTCAAAGAAGACTCACTGAAAATAGTGGACATGAGTTACTACTGAAGTCCATAGACTTCATTGGGTCTGTACCCTTTTTATCATTTAGGGGGTTGGGGGAGTGGGAGTTTGCTATGTAAAACAAAAGCAATAGGCTTTTTACATTGCTTAACTTCCTTTCTACATTCGTCAGCAAAGTAGCCTTAACGGGTGAGAGAGGCAAGAAATAGTTAAACATTTACTTGCAGCTTGATTCATATTTTGAATGGACGTAGAATCTGGGAGAAAATGACTGTTTCAAGAATCGCCGCTTCCTGTCTGTCAATTCAATTCTGTCTCTGGATAATAATTGTATTCATTTAGCATTTAGAATACTCAAATTTGCAAATGACAACCCAAATGAATATTTCATAACAAAGAGGCATGATCCATTATGGTAGTGTGACTCTAACTAGTAGCGCAGCATGACCGATCTCGCATTTAGAATTTGTGTGAGAGACTGTGGCACACGGCTAATTAAAAGTACAGCTTTTAATCTTAAAAAAAAAACCAGAAAGAAAAGAAAAGAAATTTAAGACTCAAGTGAAGGGGAAAGTCCTGTTTTTCCTGTTGTGGGAAAGGTGTGCTGGGTTTGTTGTGAGTTCGTTCCGTTGTGTTGTCATAAAACAGATCCACCTGTAAAAGTCTGGAAAGGGAAAACAGTATTTGGAGTTGCCATCTGGGAGTATGTTTTGTGCTCTCCCAAGAAAATGCATAACCTAGGCCAGCAACAGGGTTAGTGTGCAATTTGGTTTATACAAAAATATGCCCCAAGGCAACAGTGGAGAACCTCTCCTGATCGTGGAAATGAGCAAACAGGAATTTGAGTTGTTTGGGTTAAAAACCACAACAGCAACCCAGTATGGTAGTTGTGTATCACAACGTTGCTTTTGAGGAGTATAAAACAGACACGCAACGGTTCCGGGGCTGCTTTTTTCCTTTCAGCTAATTCAGCCTGTGCAATTTAACATAGCACAAATGTTGAAAAAGTTGTTTTATAAATATTGATATTCTTAGTAGCAATTTCTTTCTTTAAATCATGCTTAGGAGGTTCAGAGCGACTGAGTGAGTCATAGAGGATATATGGCTATCAGTAGCTGTTAGCTGTGATGGTTAAATGGAGTTTCCATGTATGATTGCAGTTTACCTGACCAATGGGACAAACAGTCAAGGAAGGCAGTAGCCTTCATGTCCTATTACTGCGTTTCCAGAGTAAGCTACTTGAGAGTAAGCTTTTGTGGGAGTTGGGTTTCCCTAAACATGCTCAAGACTAGAGCTTTCTGCTTGAAGTATCCGGTTGGAAAGAGAATACTCCCGACGCAGTTGCTGCTACAGTTTCTTCTTTCCTTTCCCTGCACAAAACCAAAGCCCTTCGTTCAGCACCAACCTTCACCTCTTTAAAAGTTTAGTCTTTTAAGAGGCAAGCGGCCTCCAAATCAAGGCTCCTATTTCTGCCTCCTTCCAAACTTCGAAAACCAACAGCCTTTTGCTCCGTTTGCCTTGGTTTGGAAACGAAAAAAAGATAGGTGGACGCAAGAAGAGAAAGGATTTTAATTTTATTTTTTTAAAGTCCCTTGCAAATGGATTGGATCCGGATACACCAGAGTTCTGGAGGTGTGGCGCGGGAGGGAACCTGCTTTAAAAAATAAATCGATCCCAGTGTTTTCGCCTGGGAAAGATGCGCGCGTGTGTGTGTGCGCGCCCGCGCGCGTGTACCGGGCTTGACTCCGCTCCAGCCTGGGTCTGCCTCTGAGCGTGACGTCACTTGGCTTTAGCACACAGCGGCACAAGAGCAGGCGGCTGGGTGAGTGACAGGCCAGCCTACTTTTTAATAGCTTTGTCATGTGACTGGAACAGTAGTAAGACAGGTGCCTTCGGTTCACTCTCAGTAAGGGGCTGCTTGGCTGCGCGCGAGTATATTTGCTCTCTCTCCCTCTCTTTCTCTCTCTCTCGCCCTGGCTGTGGATTGTAGTTTCAAAGCTTTGCTGCCGTCATTCAGGAGCTGGATGGCGTGGGACATGTGTAATCAGGACTCTGTTTGGAGTGACATCGAGGTGAGCTTTTGGGGGACGGTCTCTCTCTCTCTCCTTTTTTTTTGGGTGCAAATTCACCCAGCTGGAGGGCTTGTTTCCTTGTATGCTGTTCTTCCTTTCCCCTTCCCCTCCTCCCTTTTTTTATTTTTCGCTTGTGTTGCTTTGAATCTTGTCCACCCCTCCCTTGCCGGAAAGTAGCTAGAAGAAAAAACCCTTTTGGAATGGAAGCGAGGCCGCATCTTATCTTTAATCCTGTAAGTTTTTCTTTTCTCTCAACCTTCCCACCCCCCCACCCCACCCCGCCGGCTTTCTATTTTAAGATTACGCTCCGGTTCCTTGAGCAAATTAAAAAAAAAAGAAAAAGCAACTGGCTCCTGTCATCGGGATCTCCTGCAGTTGGAAACTATTTTTATGTGCCTTTGGCTCCCTTTCCAGTCATATGCAATATTTATTCACAGAGATATTGATATGAATCGATGTCTGAAGTCTTTCCATTGGCATTTAGTGGCATCTGGCTTGGAAAAAAAGCTGCCTCTTTTTCTGTGTGCGTGAGGCAGATGAAATGCTGTCGTTCGCCTTTTAAAACTTGCAAAAAGAAAAAAAAGTAGTTTTATTTTAGATGGGGTTATGGGCTGCAGAGCAGAGATGCTTGTGCGTGGAGCGAGACGGGCTTGGGATCGGTTGCTGTGTTGTGGGAATGTGGATTCTGTGCTGTGATTTTTGGGAAGAGATGCCCTGTCGCTTCTGCTGGAATGCTTGGGCTAAGGAGTCCTCTTCCTTTGGTTCTGTGCCGCTGAGACAACAGGATGGAGCGTGAGAATAGAGTTTATGCAGGATCTCGTGGTGCCGCTGCTGCCTCCGCTGCTTGAGTAAAAATAGATGGCACATCAAACCTGCAGCTTCTGCTGGCTACAATTCATAAAGGGGAGGGGGGAACGGAGGCAGGGGTGGGGAAGAAAATAAGCAGCCCATTGGGAGTCTCTGGAGTGCAGGAACAGAGGCTTGAGGGTGTCTAAGTGCTTGCAGTCAGGAAAACCAAACCAAAATAAATATCCGAGTTCGAAATGGTGTAGTGCTTGAAAGTTCCTGCAACTTGGGGAAAACTTTCCCCCTCCCCGGTTATCCCAAAACAGAAGCCTCAAATGATAGCTACTTTTACAGGCCATTCCTTATGCATCTCCATTCAGTCTTTTAATGGGGATTACTTTTAACTAAGTGTGCACAGGATTCCAGTCTTAAATGCTTCCTTTGGCAGGAGAGAAAGCTACTGGTGATTCCCTTCTCCGCAACCCCCCTCCTTTTAAAAAAAAACCTGAAGATGTTGTTTTAGTGCATGGGCACATATTATTGGGTACAATCCTTTAATGCTTTCTACATATACGTATTCCGGGCAGGAAGCAAATATAATAGTATATTCCCACTATTATTGTTAATTATCATAATCAAAAATCATGTTTAAAATATTTGCATCTGCCGACTTCTGTTTGCATATCGTAATTTTTCATCTCTTGTTTTGACTCAGTAAAGTGGAAGAGATATGGATAATTCATATGTCCTGTAGCTATTATGAGTCAAAGTGGTGAGCGAGTGACTTGCTGGCTCCAGAAGTCCTGATTTGTTTCTGAGCAGCTGGGAGCATCCAGTGGATTAGAATCATAGATTGCCGTCTTGGTTTTTGTTGCACGGGTCTCGGCTGCCGTGGCTTCGTTTTTTCCATCATGCATTATTCCTAACGCTGCTAGGAGCTTATTTGAGGAACCAATGTCTGTGGAAATGGTGATGATCTATTTTAATCACCAGGGTTCCTGCAGGAATTTCAGGCTGGTAACAAGAAAATATAATTTATGCCAGTGAGCCGTTTATTTGCTTTTGGGTTCTCCTTCTTGTTGTTTTTACTTGTTTAGAGGAAGGGAAGGGGTCTGTGTCAGTTGTATCGCAGATAAGGTGGCTTCTTAGTTCCATCTTTCAAAGTGGCATGAGCT